CAAAACATTGAATGAAATAAATGCTGTATGATGAAATGGATCAGAGAACATTAGAATGGCATACATGGCGTGTGAATGACACATGTAATGGTCAAAAATATATAATCACTATGTTAGTTAACTCATGACCAGACACGTCAAACTGGTACCGATAGATTTATGTCTAATATGTAAAATGCAGTATTTCTTAGAACCTGAAATAGAAAACACGACTTTGGAATGAGATGTTTTAATCTGAGATGAATCTGTTAGGTAGCAGTTTACTTAAGTAGAACTTAAATCAACTTCAAAAGATTGGTCATTCGCAAAGTGAAGCAGTTTCCACTTATACTGCAGTAAACAGTATGGGGATACACAACGAAACATACCACTTATGTGATAACAACTCCATGTTTATTGCATAGAGCGGCATTCCGATGTACAACGTTCAGGATAGACAAGCTGATTGAATGTTCATTGATTCCATCACTTGGACAAAGGAGTGGATTTAGACTTGTTGATCTTACTCTCCTGTTGGCCCCAACGATGTGCTAGTTGCTGAATTACCTGGTGTTAATTTGCTGCTAGTCACTATGCATATATACTTCTGTTCACCTGGTTGTAGTAACTGTTATCTTGATAACGGCGTGAGAATATACATGGAAACTCCCTCTATCGACCTTTGGTCCAAACAGATGAGTTAAGAGAAATGTTGATGTCCCGTCCGTTACCAAATTAACATTGGATTATAGAGACAATGACAGGCCCTACGTGTTGATAGAAGAGGATATTCGGATTATGCGAATGACAGCACACCAAATGAGAAAACGAGCCAAATATATGTATAAAGATAGCGTTTCATTTCAGTCTCAGCATATAAACATTGAAATATAAAACACATAAAAACATAGAAGGCGTAAGCCAGTGAGGTGGTAACGGAGAGACTATATGGACAGATTCTATTTAATCGAAATCGAATGTACACTTTCATGCTTCTTCTCATTACATGTATATATCCCCATGTAATAAGAGGGGAACTGATCCAGAAGCGATTAATGTTTCTCGCCAACAGTCTAATTACCAAACCAAACTGCACGCTTGTCGGTATCTGCTCCCTCAACCATGATTCTGGACACAGGGACTGGGCTTCTGGCCACCTTGACAAAATTTCTTCAACCCAAACAGCGGGACATTAGGAAGGGTGGATGCTCATCAGATGTTGTTACATGTATTTGAGAATACCCCCAGTAGTTCCTGTCTGATTGCAATAAAGTATACAAGCAGTGTATATGCTTTTTCGGATTTTTAATGCATAGATGGCATAGTGACTGATCCAATTTTCCAATTTGATCTTATTTCTGTGTTTTTTTTACCTCGATATTTAATCATGCAAAGGTAAACATATGATGTCTATTACATATTGTATTAATGACAAATGAAACTGTACTCAGGTATATACAATTTTAACTTCAGTACACATCCAATGCTTATATGTATTTCTTATGCGTTCCGTTAAGTTCCGTTCATATCCTCCAAACAGTGTCGCCCATAACTTTTTTCAGGCAATTAACATTGCATGCAATTCAGCGATTACTACCCCTTTGCTGTAACCAGCTGAGTGTTTGGTGGTATAAACTTACACATGTTATTTGTCATCATTCACTTGATGGTCAGTTAATGAATTTATAACAGGTATGATGGTAATACCAATCAAGTTACCGCCAAAGGTTCCCATTTAGCATTTCATGTGTCTGGAGTAAATACATCTACTCAGCATTATGAATTAAGGTCTGATGTGACAAATGTATTACATGTTATGCAATATGCTCATGGAACTGCAGCAAGGCAATTATCAGCTGAGATACAAAACAAACATTGATCAAAGGGTTAACCGATAACACGCTGATTGATTAATTACTTTTTCTTTCTGGCCATTTGTCAAAAGGTAGTGTTTATGTATGTAGATTTACTAATCTATAGTGATTACTACCTGTCCTGTACCCTGTACCTGTAAAACCTGTAAAAAACAACATCTTTCCTTCAATGTATTAACCGCCAGTAAGTTGATGGGGTGTTCCTCTTTACCAGTCGGGCAAGTTGTTTATTTAAAGTAAGAGGATCACCAGACCATGTTAATTAGCAAGACAATGGTATGGGTGGGTGGGGAGGGTGGGGAGGAGATGACCAAGCCAAGAAAAACACAAGTGGATTAAATGCTCATTATTGGCTAATTAAATTACCTTTACCAATGAGATTATACACCAATGTGAAAACTGAATCAATGTATCCCTTTTTCGGTATTAGACTGTTAAAAGACACTTGACATGGAACAGGATTCTTTGTCAGCTGCAGATCAATGGCATATTGTTCCTTTATGTGGAGGTAGTGTCCCATTTTTGACAGCGTCTTGGTCACTGATTCGAAGTTTAGGCTCTCAAACATGGGATAACTAGCTGCACCAATTAAGGGTAGTTATGTTAATGCAATCACCTGAGAGAAGTACAGAACAAGTAAAATCGAGATTCTACCAGATCACAGTCTCTACCCTGACACATACATTGACTTCGTTATTTTTCAGTCCTGACATTTTTTTACCACTGGCAGATGATTAAACTTCAAACTGTTTTCATTTGTTATAATCAAAATGATGGAAATATTATCGAGTAAAACAAGATTTTATTTTTGTTGATCAATCTACACCTATCACGATCAATTAGCATCGCGAGGTTAGCAGCAAAGGTCCGCGAACCAATCGAAAATACTGGGATATCATCCGGTGTTCAGGGAGAAAAGCAATAACAAAAGCAACAACCAGTCTTGGCGGAAATTGCTCTGGATCAGTGCCCTTTTAAATGTGTTTACCATATGATTGTTTTGATCATGTTTTACGGTCGGCTTCAGTGTGCGATGTGTTCACTTCCATCAACCACCAGCTTGTAATAACCGTCACATGAGATTAACCATGTGCTAAAATAACACCCAAACTTTAAAAGCGTACCCCTTGTCAATGTCCTGAGCCATATAAGAATCGAAAGGTCGGCTTCCTGAGTCGACATCTCAAACTATGGTATGTAAGTGGTAATAATTCCTGAGCATTAGAGAACAGATTGGTTTGTTTGGAATTTAATGCTTTTCATAAACTAGAATCTGATAAACTATTTGTCTCTGGAATCACCTGTGATATGAACTTGTGTAGTGATTTCTCTAGAAATTATTTAGCGTTATCTAAAATAGCGACATTTAGTCACCTTTTATTGTATATGACCAAATTAATTAGTTACAGTATGAAGTTTTTAAGAAGGAATTCATTTGGGTTCTTTTTGCCCCAGTCCGCCTGTGTGTGGACAATATAACCAATTATCTATTATTAAGTTCATGATATTTACATTGAATACACCAACTGCATAACACTGTCTCTGACCACAAACCCAAGCGGGTTGCTCTCTATTCGCCCTACAGTCTTAAAACAACATTTCATGGTCTGTTGACTGTTGATTTATAATGATAAACCACCCAAACGGTCCATCCCTTGTGTCAGGTGTTAATTAGAGGGTACCATTAAAGAATGTATTCTACTACAATAAGCCTATTATTCCCTGGCAAGGGTTCACTTTTATGACATGTAATAAACCCTGGCCAGTCAGTCAGTGGGTCCGTAAACTTTTATTTAATCAATGATGTAGCGTGGGTCTATGTAATTTGTGTTTATGCAAACCGTGACAGGTCAAAACTATTTAGCTTTTGTGGATAATAAGTAAACCATGCACTTAAAACTGTATTTTGGAAAATGCTAGCCATATCAGGGCAAATATGACAGTTAATGTCAATTTTGACACATAGAACAACAAGGATGCAGGCGAGAGAAGTTATACCAGGAATAATCTACAACGTCTTATAGTCTCCCTGGTTATAGTTGCTCGCATAGGAGGACGAATACACTCCTAGGAGGACGAATACACAGTCTATACACTCACGGGGATCCTTGGGAAAAGGATAAACTGAAAGAAGTAGTGGTAAAATCCTTCCTAAATTTCCAAAAATTTCCAAGCCTTGGAAATATCATCTTTCCAATTTTGGAAATTTTTGGAAAGATGATATTTCCAAATTGGAAATTTTTGGAAATCACCATTTTTTTTCTTGTGCAAGCAGCCAAACACAGTCACCCATCCAAGAAGTCTCCACTCTCTCAAAGTTGCAAAGTTCAACTGATTTAGGAATGACAAGTCTTTTTGGATGATCAACTTCTTTATGGCAACATTTTGGTATAGATACTTATACCGTTTTCACCCTTGAGGTATCTGTACTGAAACATCGCCATTATACTATAAAGAAGTTGTCATTCCTATTGCTTACAACTTCTAGAATGTCTCTCAAACAGTTCATTCAACTGATTTGTGATCTGAGCACTATGCACAGGACCACACGCCAATACAACAACCAAAGACATGCCTATATTTCTTATTCTTATCAGTTAACATCTAGAATTGTACACTATATGGTTGTCTTCCTAGCCTACTACTCTGGGCCCATCAAGTCTATGAGGGATTCAGCAATCAAGTGTTAGGGGGATGTATTCTTAAGAATTTTGAAGTGTTATGAACAATGATAATAATTCTTTGAATCTTACCTCCAGCCATTCTCCTCTTGGAATCCTAGAATACTTTTAAACAAGGTACCTGAGAAACAATTATTACGTTTCCCGTGCTTGTCAGGAAAGACGACGCCTTCAGAGAATGCCATAAAGATCACTAGGAAGTAAGACAACACAACATGATGGATGTTTAACAATTTTAGTCAAGATAAACCTGTTGATCATGAAATAAGGCAATTACTGGGAAGTGTTAGAGGTTGTCGATTGATAATACTTTAATTTCCCACGCACGCATAGTATCTGTTGACTAATTTGGCATAGCAGTATGTATTACCCATTTTGGCATATATATTTATTACCTTGGATTTATGATTAACTCTTACTAAAATATCATATATGACTGTGAGGATTCTTGATTGTCTACATAAAGAAATGCAGGACAACGTCTGCTACGCCAGTTCAGATGAAGTCATGAAGCCTGGAACCAGTGGATCCCAGGGGGTGGCAGAAGTGTATGCTGCTGTGGATAAGAAGAAGCTGAAACCTGCTTCAAAAACTAATGAAGTCCCTGCTGAAGTGAAGAAACCAGGAAATAAGAAGGCTAAAAAAACAAGGTAATTCTGAAATTTAGGTCTCATGCAAATAGTACTGGCATATTGGTTGAAAGTACACTTCAAGTAAACTTATGTTGTTGCCAGTTTGTATGTTAGATATATACTAGCCGAATAAAGAAACTGTGCACACAGAATATTCCTTCAGAATTGGAATACAACACAAAAGAGACGAAATGATGTAGACACTTTATAAGCTGAAGTATCGGGCCACAACAACATCTCAAAAGAACATGAACAATATCCGTAACGATGACGTCAGAAGTTCAAAATTGAGTAGGGGGTCACACGTCGAAGTCACAAAGTTTATAACGGGTATGACCATCATGCGGGTGAAGCACAGAAGTGCATCGACGATGCATAGAGGCTACCAAATTTTCCAAATGAAGGCCTGGGCAATGGTTTGGGACGTGGTCACTGCCGTCTGGAACCTGTGTCTGAGATGAGTCACCCGAATCCATCTGTCCTGTCTTGTCGTCGGTACTCGGGGACACCCAGAACGTGGGTGGTCGGCGACGTCATTACTGTTTCCATAACGCCTGACCAATGCAGATATCGTGCTACGATGGCATTGGAATTGTGCTGCCACCTGTTGTTGGCTCATGCCTGCTCGAACCATTCCAATGGCTTCATGACGTTGAGCAGATGTTAATCTTGGCATGATGTGCATTTGACTTCTCATGTGAATTTGTGAACGTTTGAATGGCCAGAGATCAAGCATTCGACTTTACATCAATTTCTAAGTTTCACATATTGTGTGCAGTAACACAATGCAAGTCCATAGGCCACCATCAATGACAACACGTAGCCTGGCACCTGCATGAGCCTTTGATTGTCTCCAATACTTGCTATGTTCACACCTTTATTTATGTATAAAGACGCTGTCTGCCTATCTTTATATTTTCTGTGTGCACAGTTTATGTGGCCAGTATATTTTTGTGGTGACTCCCATGGACAGAAATTACCCAGTGATGTTGTTCTAGCCAAAACTGGTTTGGCTGATTCTGTGCTGTCATTTTAGGTTCAATGATATACCTAAGTCACGATGCACAGTTACTGATTTCTTGCTACATCTGCATCAGAATAGATATAAAATGTTAGTGCAAAAGAATACCCAGTCTGTACTGTTCTTAAAGGCATTTCATGTTATGTAAAGGGAAGAATAGCTTTACAATTATGTGAATAGGCCACTGAAAATCAGTGACACCACCAGGTCTTCACAAGAAACGGCAAGCATTCCCACTCTACTGTTGGACCTGCCACTCACACAGTGTACCTTAAAAAGTGATATTATTTACAGTCTGATGCTGCACAGTGGTCAATTGAAATTGGTTATTGAAGGCTGCAGATCTGCCCTTCATTCTGTTCTTAAGGATAATGGTTTACACATTGGCAACCATCGCATATTGTGCTGTTAGAATTTGTTACGAGGGAGGAGTGCAGAGAAAGGGACAGCCAGGTTTTCGAGAAGCACGTACACAAGTGCCAACAAAGTTACTGATTCACTCACCTGTGCTGTGCCGTCTCCATCCTTTCTCGCACATGTGGCCGTCCCTTTGTCTGCACTCCTCCCTCGTAACAAATAGTGAACTGTGTCAATATTTTAATGATAGTTTGTTAAACAACTTTTAATCTGAACTGGAAGACATAAATTCTGCAAAAAAATCACAGAGTTGGTCTGATGTTTTGATTATGATCAGCGTTTCATTGAGTATTATAAGTTTTTGAGTTAGATTGCAATTCATCGGTCTGCTTTTGAGTCAAACTGACTGTAGACATTATTTTTAACATTCTTGTTTTTACAGGAGCAAAGAAAGAAAAGGCTAAGAAAGCAAATCCAAAAGGTACATTTTCTAGCCTCTTCTCAGAAAAACCTATAAACAGTAGAGGCATTTCAACAGAAAAATCACAATGAATTTTGTTTTGCCTTATTCCCTTTTCCGAGTGTATGCCTATCAGAGATTTGTTTGTTAATCTATTCTTTCGTCCAGTGATGTAAGATTTTGGTTTTGAAATGATTAAATGGTAGCTTGTGCAGGTATCATAAAAAAATAAGTGTGTAAAATCACTTTCATTTGATTAAATTCAGGTCTCAGTTCTAGTTTCTGCTGAACAGAGACCTCAGGACACTCAGTTATGGGTCATGCCATAACGACTCTTCATTTGACGAGAATGTTGCTTATATGATAGAGAAAGTGACAGTTGAATACAGTTTTCTAATCATACAGGTTTTGAGCCCTATTCTGATTTGAACCCATACACTCAGAGTGGGGACACAGCCTCTGTGCAGTTGTTGGAAATATGAGTTCAGTGTTATAAATCAGTGTTTTCTTCTACGTTGTCTTTTGGAATGGTAAAAGTCAGAAAGTGTTATTTATAGTGTAGACTTTGTGTGATTTGACAATAAATTTAGGTGACCATTGAACATATTTATGAGGTTTACCAAGGCATTCTTTTTCTTTGATCCTGATGGTGAACCAGACATAGTCACTTGTACACCAATTTCTGCATTTCTGACAACTTAACGGAGTGGTTGTTCAAAGCAATATGGACAACACTGCCTTTGATCTTGCCTCCACCTATGCATTTTGAAGAAGTAAACAGTGATAAGGATGTTGTTGAATTAAAGGTGATAGCCTCTTGTTGCATATCAAGGCACCAATTCATCAGTTATAAGTTTTCTCTTAAGTACATGTGCCTACTGTCTCCACAAGTAATAGGAACATTTCAAATCATCAAAATTATATCCAAGCTAGGTAGAATGAGTTGGTTGGTACATATATATTACTAGTTTAATCATGAGTAATTATGGAGAATTTTTTATAAAAAGCATATATATCCAGGTGAACAGATCCATCATGAACAGATGCACAATTTATCTGTTGGGGGGATGAGGTTTTGAGTGGAAGTGCATGATGGGATTCATTGAAGGTGTTGGGGTACATTGCAGTAAAAAGGCTTACAAATTCATTCAGTAATATTTATTTTTTAGATGATAAAACCCTTCTGAAGTCAAAGAACAAGAGAGAAAGGAAAGGTAAATATACTTACAAATGCAGTGCATGGATTTTAGGAATAGTTAAGCATTATACAGAAGTGTTTGACAATGTATCAGTAACCTTCAGAGCTGAAAAGCGATATGCTGGGTAATGCCATTTTGGAAGAACTGCAGACATATTTGAACCAAGTATTCACCTCATCTCAGGCTCTTAATTTGGAATTATTATTCTCCTGAATATATCAGTATGATCTTTATTCCCATGCTCCTGACTACAACAAAGTGCAGCTTTCTTCTTTTCCCAGTCATCCATTAGACAGGTTTTAGCTCATCCGAATATCAAATGAACAGAGGCTGCTTGGCATTGTTACTAGCCTCAGCATCTTTAACCCCCTGGGTGCCACAGGTACATATATATATGTATGTCCAAGATATTTTTTTGGGATTAAACTATGAACAGTTCACCTGATGAAGGGACCTGGAATGGTCTCGAAACGTTGTGAGAGAAATTAAAAAAGAAGTTTAATCCATAAAAAATATCTTGGACATCAATGTACAACTTCTAAATGCCACTGAAAGACATCATACATATATAGTCCTTCCTTTTCAACCCCGACTTTGAAGTCCAATAAAATTCTAAATGTATCATGCACACAAATATACGTCACAGTTTTAAATTCTGCGGGAAATTCCCTGTTTCTTGATACCATCCACTATTATCTTTCAAAATAGGCTTCATCGTAATTGTTTTTACACAATACGACATCGCGATTCACAGCGTTATGTGCTGTATGTTTTGAAATGTGTAAATCAGATACTAACTGTGAGTGCTGAATTTCAAAAATAGCATATTATTGATCACTGATATAAGGTTTTCATTAAATCACTAATGATAATTTTTAAACTTTGCCGATGAACCCAAAAGCGGTTGGGATGTTTTGTAAAATACAATTACACGAACGCTGAAGATTACATTTCCGTAATGTTGGATAGTGTTCACAAAATCTCCACGATTAGGCTACCTCCTCGTCCTTGCATAACTCAGATGGTGGGGATCTTAGACATGGTCTGAAGAACCTGAACAGGGTGACGAAGTTGATTGTGGCATTTGGCGATCCAGTCTTTCAGGTTCGGCAAACCTGTACAGATTGGTGGATCTACCCAGATCGAAGATCCTGCCCAAATCGATGATCCTCTCTTTTTTTAGAAACCACTGCCAATGGATGGTCCTCCTGTTTGGCACTTTTGCGGCTAATAGCTATTAAATTACATCATGAAACACATCACTCCCAGCATTGTGTTCGAGGCTTACATCGACAATTCTATTCTAAACTCAAAGAGACTGACACATCCTCCTACAACATCTACAATTCATCACCAGCTTGGATGGATTCTAAACATCAAGAGTGAGTGAGTTCAGTTTTACGCCGCTTTTAGCAATATTCCAGCAATATCACGGCAGGGGACACCAGAAATGGGCTTCACACATTGTACCCATGTGGAGAATTGAACCCTGATCTTCGGCATGACGAGCAAAGCCTTTAACCACTAGTCTACCCACCGCCTCCTCAACATCAAGAAGTGACACCTGGTTTCAACTTCATACATGTGCATCAAATATCATGGATAACTTGATAATGCATCAGTGACGTCTTCTAGGGAGTTGACTGCAGTAGTATACACAATGGGGCTATGGAACCAGGTCCCCCCAAATTACTCAATGTAAATTTTTTAAATTTTAAATTGAACCCTTGAAGTCCTTAATCACGTAGCCCCAATTATGTATACTACTACTGAGGTGCATGCAAAATTTGATGAAAATCGGTCGAATAGTTTCTAAAATATTTGACTTTTAAGCGAGCATGGGATTGGTAGGGTGAAATGTTTGTTTTTCAAAAAAAGAGTTTTCTATGACAGCGGGAGGGTTTTGAACGCAGTATCCTCTACACCAGCAGATTGGCTCTGCTAGCATCAGTGTTATAAAACTATAAATAGCTTATGCACCTTCTGAGCTGATGAATGTCGATTCTAAAATCATGGATTGTGGCTTATAAAAAAATTTCAGCGTCCATCTATACATTTATCGTGTTCAGCAGTGTTTAGACTACCAACCAGCATCGTTTTTGTATTTTATTAGACCTTTATTTGACGTGAAAAGCCTTCTGACATTTTCGAAGTGAGAAGGCGGAAGTGAACTAACTGATTTGTGTTATTATAGACGGAGCTCAGCTTAGACATGCAATTCAATAATAGATTGTGGTTTCTAAAAAAAAATTCAGCGTCCATTTCTGATAGCACCAAACGAAACTCTTCCTCAGAGATTTTAAGATTTTAGAGTCGGTGAGCGCGGTGGAAATATGATCGTGTTTAACTTTAGAATTTAGAATTCTAATTTCGTCGACGTGTTTCAATGCTTTACTTTGCAGTCTGCGAGATATGAACTTTAGGGTCAATCTCATCAACCCTTACCACTCCGGCTGTTATTCTGATGCCTAGCACCATGGGTGCGGCCACGATGGTGGATAATAATATTGATAACATTAGGACGACTACAACGCCAACAAGGAGATGATTAAAAAACGAGACGCGCTGTTGTACCTGGCCTTCTCTGGCTGACACACAAAGCACAGCGTTTGGGATTTGACGCAGAATTTCAACTCGGTGCTGAAAGATTTACAGGAACAGATGCGATGAGTCGCCCCGTTTCACTGCAAGGACAGGGATTCGTTTGAGGACAGCTTGCGAGAAAACGACGTGATCCAAACAAGACGTGAGAACGAGTGAAGAAACAGCATGCCGAAATGGAACGCGTCAAACTCTGGTTGAAAACCGACCAACCCGTGGTGTATAAAGTCTGCTAGCTTTTTAATCAAAATTCTAGCATAACACAAGCAAAAACCGATGTTCGAATTATCATTGTGTGCAACTTGACTTTCATCTCGCTGTGTTTCGCATACATCGCATTTTATTTTATTAGACTTAAAAATAGCTGGTAACATTATAAGATGGAGTGCGCTGAACTGCTCAAACAAATTTTGGATGACAATGATAATAATAATAAACACGACAAGCGAGAGAAACTGGTGTCGCTCGCGGTCTTGGCCAAACAATACTTGGGTGGTTGGGGCGACCACATGCCCGATAAAATTCACAAAATGTCAGCCGAAGAAATCGACAAGCTGTACGCGAGATACGAAGCCAGACTCGGCGCTGAAATTACGAAAACCATAGGGCCTGTCATAACGCAAGTCTATGCTGGTGTAGCGTCGTACTTACTTCCCATTCCGCCGGAACGTCGACTTTACCTGTGGGAAGATATCAAGAAAGATCCGTTCATCGACCATGATTTGACCACGCTGTCAGCTGCATGCTGTACCACAGATGCGGCATGTTTTTTGCTGATGACCGCGGCGATTATCACGGCAAAGCATTGTCAATTTAAAGAAGAAAAACATAATAATGATAATAATATACAAGATGGATGCACACCAGGAGGAGGAGGAAAAGAAAACGTCAACACCAAAGGAGGAGGAAGCAACAACGATATCTCTTCTCCAAATTACAAACGTTGAGCGCGGCTGAAATGGAAACGGGACGTAAACGTCAAGATTTGGCCTTGGAGAAACTGCAAGCCGCGCAAGCTGAGGACACCAACAATCGTGTGCAGAGAATACAGTTCATCAACGACCAACTCGCGAAAACCATACCGTTCAAATGTTCAAGATCGTCGACGATGCCATGCGAGAATACTACCTGCTCACCGGCAAATGACTCGAACCTCTCAGCAACAAACCCACCTCCTCACAGTTTTACATGCCTTCAACGGAACAGAAAGACCTGGAATTGATTTTCGTGGCGCTGGGTCTACCGGTGACCGTGTTGATTGCCAAACAATTACACTAAAATATATCTATGTGTGTTTTTATATATATAGATGGGAAGACGATCACCGTATAACTGCAAGTACGTGCTGCTAGGAAAAAACGAAACCTGCGGCAAGAAATGCACCACCGAATATTGCGGCATACACATGATGTCCATATGAAATGGTTTCGTGAATTACATATGCGAAGTTGCGGTGTGGGTGTGAAATGCTATTGTCGTCGTTGCAAAGCCCACAGAGCAGATGTGGTACGCGGACATCTCATCTACTTAACGAAAAGAGACTATCTTAACGAATGCTACTGACTGCTCAGAATAAATCTAACATGCATCATGAAAATCGCTTCTTTATTTTTTTTAAAAGTCAGTTGAAAGTTTAACTATCGAACATATTGACGGGTTGCTAACATTTAACAGCAAGACATACTTCGCACACCTACAAACTACTAGAGATTTTGACTTCACAGCCGAACATAGCGATGAGAATGCTATTAGAGATTTGACTTCACACCTGACTATAGCGAACAACCTATTAGAGATTTGATTTGCATCTGAATGTAATTATTTTTTCATTTAGAAACAGTTTTTCACACATTGATATAGCAACGATGATTACCGTTCGAGAACAAAGGGATTGCCAAAAAATGCGAAGTGATTGGTTACTCCCGTTTGGGGAAACATCTGCTGCTGAGATTGCTCGGCATGAAAGACGAACCTCCTCAACCCACGGTAAAACAGCTCAAACTCCGAGCGAAGGAGCGTGGGCTGAGAGGTTATTCGCACATGAGGAAAGCCTAGGTTCTCGAACTGCTGGAGGAACACAAACCTGTTCAACTACAGTTCGTGTGGATGAAGCACTCAGTAGGTAAGTATCTGAGAGACTGGAGGATGGACGTCGAGAAAAACATGGACATCGACGACATCAAACCGCTGGTTGCCAACAAAGTTGTCGAGGAACTGAACGATCTGGGAAGCCTCAAATTTCAACTCACGGTGAAAATGTCTCTGGACAAACAGCTGACGGACGGCACCACCGCGCACGTCCAGCCTTGCTTCAGAGGCAAGCAAGAAGTCGCGACTCAACCCAAATCCGTCGATGTGTCCATAGACACCTCGTTTGCAAAAATACGAGAATCCCTAGCTACACACATACTACA